GAGGAGTCCCATAATAAAACGAAAAGACCGTTCAGTGCTTTCAGGTTTTCCATGGTGGTTTAGCTCCAACTGATTCATGATCCCCATGATTGAGAATACTACAATCTCCACAAAACCCCTTCTGATATCTAAACCTATTTTATTCAATATTTGAATACTTTGATTTCGTTAAATTAACACACTTCTAATTATAAATTATTATTTGCAATGCTTGGAATATTTGATAATCTTGACTAGATTATGTTACATCATTACATCTAATTGATTAATGTAGTGTATGATCTCATTCATTCATAATCATACAGTGGTAAAAATTAATCTAAGCTTTACTAGGTTGTGATTACAGTTCAGTCTTTTGTGAATATCAATCGATTAGTGATTAATGTTCATCTATGAAAATATAGAGATATGCAACCAAGATGTAAAGTAAATAATAATCTGAGTAACGTTTGAGAATATTGTAAATTTTTATCTTCATTTGAACTGTCCAATGTTTTTTTCACATTGTTATGATTACTTATTGGTTAGGAATTGTGAATAGTGATGTTTACGTCAATTATATTGTCAAGATTGCTTTTATGTAACTTGATCATGCAACCATTTATCTGAATATTGATCAGTCAACGATCTACATTGAGGTTTAATGAAATATTATTTCATTGATCATAAATGAACTTGATTGATTCGAATATTAATCCCTAGCTTATTTTGTAAATAACTAAACGGAGAGATACTAATTTTCGCGCAGGTAGATTAATGATGTGACAGGTAAAGATATTACAATCTTTAACTTAGTCAATTACTAATCTAAGCAATAGTAATATTCCTTTTTTATTTAAAGTGCTGTAAACTGATTTCTATGAAGAAAGGAAAATAACAAAAGTCGTTGCCTTTAAAGCTGTCTAAATTGTTTACAAAGTACTTATCTTAATCCTGAGGGTTAGATTTAGATTTACGTGATTATCTACTCATTGAGATAACAGAATATATATTTGCTATTAACTTCCTACTCAATGCTCAATTAATTTGAAACTATCAAGTCCAACCTTGACATTGATACCTATAAACTAATCAATATGTTTTAAGAATACTTATATATCTGTCAAGACGATATGTTCGATAAAACAGTAAAATATCACCATATTATCGCTAATAGTACTTACCAAGCTGAATGTGTTCAACAAGGTATGTACACTAGAAAAAGAGCAACATAGATACATATTTACATTCTTCAGCCTGTTAAAAAGAAATCCAGAGTTTATGGTTCAAATGTTCTTAACGGGGAAATTATGTAACATCTAATTATTTGTAGTCATATTTCTGACATTTGAAATAAATATTTAGTTAGTTAATGAATCAACAAATTAATTCATCAACTGAGTACTGTAGTTCCTACATCCTTAGAGAGTCAAAGTTGATGTTAAGCTAAACAAGTGGATATAGCACACCAGTTTCATTCTCATGGACCAAAGCAGAAAAGTATATTAACTTCTCAGCACTTCAAGTCGTTAAAAGAAATGCGAAATAATGCTGACATTATTATGTTTAGACCTGATAAATGATCAGGTGTCGTTGTTATGAATATATCCGATTACAAAAATAAAATGGAATCCATTTTCAGTGCTGAAAACAAATTTATGGCTGACGTTGACTCTGATGGATTGCGTAAAGCAGGAAGTGAATTCGAATCTAATGAAGTTGTGTAATCAATCTTGCCATTTCTCAGGTTACATATAACTGGACCTAGTCTTTCTGATTTTGAGAACAATTATTATTGATATTGCATGACATCTTCGGTGTTAGTTAGTTAATTAGTAAATATCTCAATCCCAAGTAAGGTTAGTTAAAACTTTAACAACTTAGCAGTATTTTCATTGATTAACAATGGATGACGCGGATTCGAACGTCACAGTGCGACTCATCTACTAAAAAGTTTAGAATTACAGCTTAAGAATGATCTTTTACAACCAACTGTGCAATAATACGTGGTATTTTTTTGATTCAATAGAAGTTTGTAAGCAAATGATGACAAATTTCAAAGTATAGTAATTAATGTTATCATGCTCTACTCAAATTGGAAAAAACAATGATCGCTTTATTCTACATAATTAACATTTTCTAAAAAAGTACAAAGTGGTAATAAGTGGTACAAAAAACAAGAAATCAACATAATTATTGACAAGTCGGAAACATAATTAAAATAAAAACTGGAATATTCCAGTTAGCATTACGTTTTTAGTTGTATAAAATAGGAAAGGTATAAGATAAGTCAAGAGAACAAAATTACATTTCATCAAGATACAACTGGGACAATCTCTGTCAGTTTACAAATCAACGCTTGTGTTTAAAATACATCTGTAATATCGGATACAAAGATAAAAGATGGAAGATTTATGAAAAAAAATAGAGTATAAAGAAAAAACTAGACAAAAGTATACAGTATAGATGAATGATTATTCTCTGTGAGAATAAGAATAAAAATAATACTTGGAGTAAGCAGTGGTTTTATTTAAGATTTTATCTAAAATACAAAATGAAAAAATAAAATTTGAATTCGCGGTTACAACAGTTTGATATTTTAAATAATGCTCATGAGGATTTGAAAGTGTTGTTCACTTATATTTTATGTAGAAGCGTAAATTTAATCCAAGTTATAACGAATTGGTTTCATTCGCGTCTATTGACTAGTTTAAGCTGATAAAAAGTATCCGAAAAAAAGAGAATATAAATCACTTTAACGATTTCATCACTTCTAACTCTTTTTTAAGAGAATGATATTCATTTTGCTTTATCAAAAGTAATTTTATATTCACAATTAAAAGAAAAGGGCACTACATACTAATCTATAAATCATAACTGTTATCAATAAAATCAGTTTGATGACTATTCATAATGTAGTGGCTTAACCTCGAGATAATTCGTTTAGCTTCGCTTATCTATCACCCTGATAACCGTTACTAAGTTAATACCAACGGGGCATGAATTCAGAAGACAATACGAAGCGGCGATTTCAGTTTATTGTTGGATCAGATCAACTCCGTCTACTCATTGTTCTATCGAAATTTATAAAAGGGACTAATTGCTTTAAATTGTATTATTGGATAGCACAGATCACAATTACAAGCACATCGAGTGGCTTTGGAGCAGACAGGCTAATGTGTGTAATCAAGCAAACACAGAGACAGATTTACAGTCAAGTCGAATTAAGGTGCGGCGAGACAAAGCAAATGCTATTAATAAGATTCGAGAACATATTCATACGGGAAAGCGAATGATTCATCGAGCGATATTTAAGCAAACAACCTTTAAGGTAGAGAGAGGGATATGTGGGTAGGCTGTCTCATGTGATCAAGCATACATGTTTGTACAGACATGATAGTGATAATAATAATAATACAAAGAAGTAAATAAATTGTTACTGTTCGAATAACACTGTCTGTTAAATAAGTTAATTAAAGGGTTCGACGAAATTAAACGTAAACAAACTTAATTTTAGGGAGGGTTGCTATAATAGTTTATTATTACACGATCATGTGCATTTTGAATTTCCGTGTTCTCGTTCTCAATCATCTTTTTTGTTATCGTTTTTATTTTTCACCACGTTATAATAACAAGGGACAATAACATACAATACAAATCAATATACAAGTCTTTGATTCATTCTTCTTCTTATTATTTTCTTCTACAACGTCGAAACATACGGATATAATGTTATGAGTTTTTCATGTCTCATGCATGGTAACTTTGCTTGGCGTAAAAATTATTTCATTAGAAGTTGCATTATTAAATGTTTAAAGCAGTAGTATCACAGATAACATGAAAGTACTATCAGTGGGAAGAAACTTTTAATAAGAAAGATAAAAAAGTTTAAAGTAAATAGAACCAGTTCACAATGATGCATGAAAATTACCCTAACTGAATGAATAAAAGAGTTCGCATACGCTACTGTTATTGATGATATCTGACTATATTATCAATACCAACTTCAATAAAAAGTGATTTATTAGAATTTCACCACAACTGACTAGCAGCGTGTTCTGTACAGGACTAAGTGGCCGTTCGTTCTGCTTAAGTATAAGTTAATGCTAATAAGCTGTTAAATGCATCAACATAACTTCGTCAATATCAGTTCATTTGAACAACTATGACATCGATTTGACTTGGGAAATGTAAGAATATAAGGCAGAGGAAACACACAAAAAAACAAGAGGATTTTTAGAAGCTTGGGACTTTGATTACGCGCTTACCATTACACATATTAAAAAAGACTCGATCCACCAAATAAAAAGATGAAGGGAAAACAACTACAACGTTATAGGTAGAAACAACGGAAACATACATCTAAACAACAGTCACACAGTTATGAATAACAAGAAACCAAATCCTAGGTTAACACACACAGTAGCCAATCGATTGCGGAGAGGTTTTATTCAGCCACTTATAACTAAATTATGTACTGATGATGTTGTCAAGACAGTTTCAAGATTAAACTATTTGGCGTAGAGAACACAGCATCAGTATATATATGCTAAATAATGTTGGCAGTTGAGGCAGAACAGTAATTTTTGTAATTTATATCCTTTGTTATCTGGTAGGTTGTTCAAAACTCAATGTTACAAAGCATATTTTGATATCCGAATTTTATGCTTTAACAGTCATTTCATATGTTATAAATATTCATATAAAGATGGTGACCAAAATTTAATCGAGTTAAAACGTCAACATGTGTACACTAAATAACAATTCAGGTATTTTAAAGGATTTAATTGGCGTATTGTTGCTTAAATTTTGTTCCACACACTGTTTACTTAAAATAATCGTAATTCTGTGGTGAATTAAAAGAAATATTTCTTTCTCTATAATAAATTTCACTAAAATTCCACAACAATAAATGATGAAATTAAAACATTAAAAAAGTTTTAGTTGCCAAGGGAATAATTCATTGACAAAAAGAAATGATAACAATTCACTTACAGCACAGATACCTGTTTGCAAGCATTTTACATGCACAAACATCCGCTAAACGATTGGCTATATAAATAAAATAAGAATAACGGTTAATAAAAAATAATATCATCGAAAATTTATCATCTGAATAAATTAATTATCTGGTTTTTGGTGCATCTAGTCGATACCGATCACCACATAGATAAAACTTCAGCGTTTCAAATTATTTATAAAATCTCGCCGAAATAACCTTATGGTTCTAGGAGTCGACTTTTACGTATAGCAGAAGCCATAAGAATACACATCTAGAAACCCAACCTTTATATACAGAAAAAGTTTATACAACCATTGAATCTACCCTAGTTTTCTACCTAAATACCATTGCATGTTTCAAAACCTTTCTTTCTATTCTAGTAAAATTTTCTGAACATCGATTTCGTTAACACTTAAATTCCTAGTTCTAATCTTATGTAATCTGATGATTAATCATATTATCTAATTTTCACTGTACCCGTTCAACTAATTTCTTATCATTAATTCCACAGATAACAAAACATCCATATTTACATACAATTTTAATTATGTAACTGTTAGTGATAATTAATTGACCATGAGAATTCACTTTAGTTCTAATCTTAACTTCGATCTTCCAGACGTTATGTAACTAAGTGATTACTATTTCTTTAAACTGACCACCATCCAACTGGTATCGTCTCTACTCAGTTATAAAACATTTATGCTAGTATGGAACCTTGATGAAGAATTAAATGAAATGAATAATTTCATCGTTCAACTTGTCACTCTAATAACAAATAAGTTTGCAAAATAAAATGAATTCATTCTATTTCACGACGTCCCATCAGCTGCAAACAGCTTAAAATTACACATATTAATGTGATTATAAACAAATTTTCAATGTACTTAAGTTAATGAAGTTCAGACGAGTATAAGAAAGGAATCATGACAAACGTAATAACACGAGTAATGATAAACAAAATGTACAAATATAAAATAGTTGAGACTGTTTGGTATTTATATTGTTGTAAAGTAATAGTTCAGAGTAGATGACGTCATAGCTACAGGTAATCATAATGAAGATAAGAGGGTTACGTGAGCTTAAATAAATTAAAAGACACGAAGTTCAGCGAAGGGATTTCTTTTCAACGAATTTATCAGAGGTGTACAATCGCATATATATATATATATATATATATAAATGGCAATCAAATTAGTAAACGATTACACAACCATTCAATGTGATTATAAACTAGATAGAATAAATATGTGAACACTAACAAGATTATGCAAGACATAAGAATCCGATGAAAAGGGGATTGAAAAATTGACAAAGGTTATTTGGTTAACACACTGTCGCTATCACGGAAAGGCTTGTCACAGTTTCCTTGTGTATGCATAGGTCAGGTCAGAAGTGCTTGATAGTTATTACCTCTACAAAACGTAGTAAAATTGTTCTTTGTCTTTTGATTATTTTTAATGCATTGGTTATATTCACTTCATCTTTACCATTCAAAAGGTGCTTGGAGATTGCAGTCGTGAAGACCTTACTCTCTTTTACGCGTAGAATCTTAGGAATAAGTTTAGAAAATCTATTAGAAAGCTTTCTCTCTATCTTTCCTATATACTTGCCACCACAGGTACATGTAAGTTCTTAGAATTGTTTAGAGTTGAATTTTCATGCACCTGTGGTGGCAAAAAGTATATACTAATTTTACTCCTTTTTTCAGAGACTATCAAGCATTTCCGACCTGCTTATATCTGCTACAGTTGCTCTCAAATGAATCCAATTACGATTAAAATATGTTGTTAAAACTGTTCTTTATGTAGTAAGATAGTGAATGATATCATGTATGTTGTAAGTAAAAGATAGTAAACTAATTTTTATTAGCTAAAACCTGAATAAAATTAAAGTATGTTTAAATAGATTCCAGCAGCTATTATGAGACGGATAAATTTAAGAAAGGTGTAAGTATATCATATAATTAACTAAGCCATCAATCCAGTCAATTTATCACCATCGTAGTAAGTCGAGTTTTTGATCGTAAGGTTTTTCCATCCATTTTGGTTTTTTTGCTTCATCAAATTCCAAAGTACTCTTGAGTTTATTCAATGGCTTCCACCAACCTAAGTTATCACATTTGTTACATAACAAATTTTACTAATTTTCTGGTTCTAATTCACTTCTGTTTCTGCACACTTTTATATTTTCTCGCTCATTCGTTTAATAGTCTTATCTATATTAAAGCTCACTGATAACTTGTCATTTCAAGTGCTTTAATTGTGCAATATAATGTTATCTTTCAATTTGGTCAATACATTTGATTAGTTCGATTACGAGTGTAAACAGCTACAAACAGCTGCAGAATATAATTAATTCTAAATAGTGTATTTCATTTGTTCTTTCATGATGTCCAATTTTTTCTAGTCTAGTGATAACCAGTACATGATTTTGTATTCACGAAATACTGAGCTATATATTATTACGACCAACATTTGCTTTAAGTGTAAGAAAGAAAATCATGTAAACTTACGCTAATTGAGATGGAAATGAACAACGATGAGTATCACCCAAGTGGTAACAACGATCACTGCTGTACAAATGATTTCTTGTATTGAACGGAATGGAATTTGATGTGGGCTTATCAGCAATGCTTGTTATGGATAACAAACGAACAGAATCGTTTGAATGATAAAGTACCTAGAAGTCATTTTAAGAACAGGATATTCTGAAATGTTTTTTACAACTAAATGAAAACAGATTAATATTACAATGGAGTTACGGAGAAGCCTCAAACACAGAATTGGCTAATATGTCACAAGGAACTGTTATTTACCCTCTTTTCTATGATTTTTTTCGTGATCTATTATCTCCAATAGAAAACACTTTTGTTAAAGATGCGGACGATCTCACTGTATGTACTACAATGATTCTTACCTATTTACATACCTTTAAAATGAATGAGTTCTTGTCTCTTATTGAATTGTGGTCTGTTGTTAATGGTCTCACATCTAGTCCATCTATATATCAAACTGTTAACTTTAGCTTGACATATGAACAGCACCTGAACACCCTATTGGAACCCCATAAAGATGGTACTATTGGAGATTCTTCAATAAAAACGTTCTCAAAGGTCATTTATCTTGGTGTAATTTTTTCCTCTGATCTCTCTTGGTCTTCCATGTTTGGTTGATATTGAAGAAATTTTCTGTTCGACTTACTGTATAAAGAGACTTCTTGCTTTTCCCCCTACAGAATACTAACTTTTACGACTTGTTAATTATTGCATATTACCTATAATTCTTTACTGTCCTCTATTATTTTTCCCCACGATTGTGAAAAAAGACTTTGCTGTATTGAAGAGTGCTGAAGGCAGTTAGCAGGATGTGCGGTGAATCTTTTAAGGCCATTATTAATATGGTTGTAGATAAACATCTAAAATCTTGTAAACTTATGGAAGGTGTAGTCTTATCAGGTACTAACCATCCACGTCATTTATATCTTTCTCCTTGTATATCTTCTGGTAGAACGAAATTCCAATACATCAGAATACCTTATCTAGAAAATATACCATGTGGCAAACAGGTTGTTAGAGCTGACCTAGTCAACAGCTTGTATTCTTAAACACGTTTCTAATCAAAAGGTTGTACAGATTCAAATCTTAAAAAACGTCTCATTTAATTCCAGGTAGTTTATCTACTTAGTTTATGTATATATGTATGGAATTAGCAGTTTCCTTCGCCTTTTTTCTTTTTTGTAAAAGGGACTTGTTGAAATACCTTGTGCTATGAATGCTATATTATACCTAAAATATATTCTATTTTTAACCAAGTGGATGTAGAATCTAACAAAAACCAATGTAAGGGAAATATGAAATTTCCTCCATCAAAATACTAGACCTTTAATGTATATGAACTATAATGATGCTATGTATAAGTTACGAAGTATGGGTTATAAAGCACTTAAAAGCCAGAATTTCAACTAACTGATATGACTGAGAAGTTTCTTGCGCCCACCTAGTTAAGGGCTACCTTAGCATGACGAATGAGTGGCTTAGATTGAAGTCAAACAATGATTAACTAGTGTCAGTGATTAATATTGTTGCATTGTATAAAGAAATGAGGGTTTCAAAGTACAGATCATCTAGATTTCCTTTATCAGTGGTTGAGAACATTTAAGATGATATAACTGTAAATCAGTTAAAATGGCTTACAAATAGCCCGAGGGAAACATAGTCTCACTAAAAATTCAGTAATCATCCCGGATACAAAATTCAATCTTATAATCAAGGACCTCTCACTTAGCTTAATTAATAAATTCAAATCTATTCATCTTCTATGGATGATACACTTTCAAGAAATATTGAATTGACAATACATTTAGCCTAAAATATTATTACATGCTTAGTATTTTGCGAGATAGTGACCTGTTCCATTTCATTTGCATAAAGATGGCTCTTTTCTGACTTAATCTTAGAACTTAGAACTATTAGTATATTGTTTATATGAACCTAGGGCTTTCCGTTAATATTTTTTCCTAATTATAATTATCATTACAAAATGGTGGTACATAATTTTAGACCAAAGTTTGCTCTCAATAATTTCAACTTAAAACACACATGGTGAACAATCTAAAACACTAAAGAATCATTTTATTCTTCTGAAAAATTATTTTTATGTTTAATTAAACCAAACTGAATCATTGTTGATAGTAGTTATTTTTTGTCAAGAAAAAGAGATTTCTAATTTCAATAAAACATTTACCTTAATGAAGTTTGCTTCACTGAAAGGTTTAAACCTGGTGTATCGGGATCAATAATATTAAAATGTCACTCGATGAGAATTATGAATATTATCGAAAATTTGTTTTGAATTGTAGAAGAACCTAGTAAAATACCCAGCCTTCCCTTCTTAAAATCACTAGCACCTACATCCAGATTTTTTTGGGCAATTAAAATAACAGGTATATGGGTATGTGATAAAGAAACATTTGAATGGTTATTTCTTCAGCATCGAAATATGTGTCATAGGTAATAAGGTTTCAAAAATAGTTTTCAACAATGGGAAAACAACTTATTAATGGTGTTTCTCAATTTTTGTAACGATGAAACCTAAACAAGATATATGTTCATCCTTAATATTTAAATGAACTCAAAGTTACGGTTACTTGTTAAAAAAACCCAACCATTTGAGAGAAGGATAAATGGTTCAAAATTTAGATAAAAGGATTGAAAATGTAACTTGACAGTTGGCTGACTTAACAAAACAGTAATATATTTCAGTTGACTTGAATGATTCGACTTGCAGTGATCTGTAAAACCTAATGATATGCAATACGGTAAAAGTTATAAAACTTTAGACTCAACAATAAAGATAAATCAGTACTGATTTTATTTCAGTTAATTTATCTCACGCACTCTCAACAAGGTATTTTTAATAAAACGTACAAAGTATATTTATATAACATGATAAGTACTAGTTCTCATAGTAAAATTTAAAAACAACCGGTTTTAGATTTAAAATCAACTTACTGAGGCATTAACTAAGTTATTTTCTTTAAATTTAGACATAAACGAATGACAAAACAGTCCACATTGTTTATCACGTTTGATTTTTTGGGATTAAGTTCAAGACTACCAGACTCACAAAACATATAAGAAAGCCGATTGTTTTTTTCGGTATCACAGCCGATGGATTTACGTCTACGATATTCTTCAAGTTTTTGTTCCATTCTAGATGACTCAAGAAAATTTACTGGTGAAAGGGGATTATCAATGGTCAACTCTTCCATTCCCATCCTTTGAAAGATTCGAGAAGATTTCATTGACTAGCGGTAATGGATCAAAATAATAATATTTACTGATAAAAGGTTAAAAACAATGTTTAATGAAAGCTACTTTTAAACTGCACAAAAATGCTCTATGTTGTGTCCTCAGTTAAATATGAAATCACATTGAACTAGCAACAACAACAGTCAAATAGCCTATGGACAGTGAAGATTTGAATAGATTATCTGTTGTTGAAACTTTTCCATATAGCCATGCCTATAGTTATTTAGCCAAAGCCAAACAAAGACTGATAAAGCTCAATAAATCGCTCCAGAATTAAAACAAGAGGAAAACCATTTAGTGTAAAACTGGTTTTATTCTTTTATTAAATTTTACTAAGCTTTATTTCTATCAGAACCATAAAGCATAACATTTGAATAAGTAAAACAACAATGAAATTGTTATTTGTTAATTTTAATCAGAACACATTTTTAAAGAATGATTTTTCACACAAGCTTTCAATCCATCTATTCCATGAGTTTAGCCAATAGCATTGTTTAAATTAATATAAAAATTATATAACTTTTCTTAAATTATTGCTTTATTTATAACAAGGAGTCTTAAATTTGTATATATTGATAGTGATATAATTTAATAACCGAATACATGTTTATACATCATGCTTTAAGATATATTAATTTGGAAAGGAATCGAGTAATTGATTTTTCGGTTGAAGTTTAAGCAGATGTGGTTAATTTCTAGCTTATAACCCTTGGCTTTAATATCAAGTCATTATATGACTGAAACTGAAGGTGTTTTATCGTGAAAGTAATTTAATCTCATATATATATAACACATATTACCTGGCCTTCACCTAATTCAATTCGTTAATAATCTAACAATGAAAGTATAGTAAACTTTCGTAAAGATGCAAAGCGCTTTTATTGACTCATTATCCGGTGAAAATATCACTTTTTTGATGGTCTTCAACTACCAATATAAAACTGGGCTTTAGTACTCTTTTCGCATATTTCACACTATAATGAACATTCAAGGTACAAATATTTCCGTTCTTCATATTGAAAAATAAACACATGTTGCAAGAACTCAAGCTAATTAACTATGATTACTTTATTGACCCTTCATATTATGAATTGGCAGACATAGACGATAAACTCAGCCGAAAATTATTCTTAGTTAAATTCGAAAACACGTAAAGTTTGTATCAAGAATAACGCACAACGTAATCCTCTATGGTCTGACGTCACATACTCAATAACCAAATCGAGGTTAACAGCTTTAATTATTACTTAAGCGCTTATGAAAACAGAAGCTGACAGAAACTGATTAAAATTAAGCCTGTGTGTTATGATACCGACGCATACAAACCACAGTATCACACAGCTTTTATAATGGAAAAAATTATTATTTATGTTTGCAGAGTATTCATATTATTTATTAGAATACCTAACAGACACTTTAATAGTAGTAAGAGGAATAGTGACTGATATCTTGGTAAAACTACTACCACATATAATTATCTACGTGCATTGGTACGAGCGATACATCTTGAGGTTTGACAGCTAGTTGATGTTAACGCAGATGAAGATGAAGGGGTTGTCCATTTATTTCGATATACTGTTTCTCACAATCAGAGCACTTTGTTTTGTAGATAACATTCGGCTTTTTTTTCTTATGTCATTGCATACGATTGATTGGAGTCATTTTGCCGGTTTATGTTGTTTGTGTATGCTTTCGATTGGCTTTTTGTCTAACTCAATATGTTTATTACGTCATCCCACAAAATGTATGATGATTTGTTAGGTAATAATCCGGTTCCTAAAAACTAAGTTATGACAGTTTCTATGGTATGTTGTATACTGTAACTGACTTAAACGTGTGAGGTAATATGCGAAGGGTAATAAAACGCAATACGTTCACCATATTCTGTTCAGCATGTTGTTCTCTTTTTATGAAAATTTATATGAAACTCTATCAACTGAAGAATTCTCACCTCTTCGACTATACGTTTCTGTTCTAGCCATTGTTCAAATTGAATAAAATCTGAAGCACGCATTGGCCACTTCGCACTGCTTTCCTTACGAAGGCTTTTTCGTGCTGTTTTAACAGCTCTAAAAAATAAATAGGTTTTGAAAATGTCCAAGTATAAAGCAATACATAAATCAGTTAGTTCAATGACCTAAATAGCCACAAAGAAACGGAACATCCTAAAAAGAATTATACTAAAATGAAGTAAGTAATAACATATATATTCAACTAGATGAATAAATTTAAAGTGTGGAAGTACTTTGGGTTATTTTAAATTTTAACAAATCGGATACTTCATTTGAGTCATCATAAGTAGGCTAATATGTTTCTTTTGTTTAAAAAAATTCACTGTTGAAAGTTTGGAAAGATTTGTTTTGCATTTATGTAAATTTTATGTGCATTTATATCAAAACTGTATAACTAAAAAACCACACCAAATAAATATATTGAATCCGAGAATACTCTGGTTACATCACAATTGATTGATCACTGGGTGGTGATCAATCTCATGCTTGTCTAGTCCTTATTAGTGCAGATCGAATGCTATCGATCATGTTGCAATGTGGCCACCAGTCTAGGTGACTCGACACTGCGGGCACTATGTATTGAGATTAGATGGTGGTTGGAGGTAGTCAACAGGAAACCCTGGACCCGGGTTTCGTGCTACTTGGCACTCGTCAGCAAGGTGTACCTGTAATCTTGAGGGAACTGGTGCTCCCTGGCGGATTCGATCTCGTGTCACCCAGCTTCACAGTCAGAGACGTTACCACTGAGCTATCCGAGCCGTGACTGACCTCCTGTAGGACTGAGATGTAATCACAATTGATTGATCACTGGGTGGTGATCAATCTCATGCTTGTCTAGTCCTTATTAGTGCAGATCGAATGCTATCGATCATGTCACCTAGACTAGTGGCCACATTGCAACATGATCGATAGCATTCTATCTGCACTAATAAGGACTAGACAAGCATGAGATTGATCACCACCCAGTGATCAATCAATTGTGATTACATCTCAGTCCTACAGGAGGTCAGTCGCGGCTCGGATAGCTCAGTGGTAACGTCTCTGACTGTGAAGCTGGGTGACACGAGATCGAATCCGCCAGGGAGCACCAGTTCCCTCAAGATTACAGGTACACCTTGCTGACGAGTGCCAAGTAGCACGAAACCCGGGTCCAGGGTTTCCTGTTGACTACCTCCAACCACCATCTAATCTCAACTCTGGTTACATAATTGTGACTACTAAGAATATGACAAAGTAAAAATAGCGCTCCAAAGAATGTATGGAACACTTACTGAATGGCTGTCTCCAAACTAGATATCCAATCTTCAGCTTCAGTTAAATTACCATTCACGATAGTAAAGTTAGCATCACGACAGTGCACCTAGAAGACAAAAAATATTCGTATATTAATAACTGATCTCAATGTAAAAATATAACAGCTGTGATAGAATATTTAATTTCTATATAATATGCTTGAAATTTTTGCAAAACAAAAAAAACATAGTAGGATGAAGTCATTTCATTTCATTTGGTGAGCTCTAAATCCCCCACTGACTTTCATAAATACATGAGATGGTTCACAAAAGAAATTTCCTATACAATAGGCATAAAGTCATTCAGTTAACTAATAAAAATAATCATTACTTTCTATGTTGATATCATCTCCAAAAATTATTATTATTTTCACCATTAATATGATTACTTTACTAGAGTTTATTGGTAAATAATATCAATTTTGTGATCTTGTCAACTGTGATCGCAGAACCTTGAACATGTTTCTTGTACTTGACGTCATGTTTTTTTTCGCTCCTATTTCATTCTTCTATAATGTGAACTTGGAAATATAGCTTATAATAATAATTTTTCGCTCGTGAACTTGATAATCTTACGCATATTACACACTAAGCTATATTTGCAAAACATTTAATGTATAAGTACAATTTGGTGTCTGTGTGGAAGGTTTAGAGTACAAGAGATGAAATGAATTCATTTCAACCTAAAACCCTAGTGCTTTCTGTGTCTTTTCACAAATATTTATAATAAGTATGAACCAAATCTGACTAAATAGCCGATTCATTTCCTTACAAGTGTATACGAAGGTTTCCTTTGATACTGGGTATTCTCGGTAACAAAAACGTATAATCATTAAACCACTGGGAACTTACGAATCGATTTATTTTATCGACACTACTTATTTAAAGATGATGCTCCTCGGGTATTGAAAGCAACAAAGCTAGACACAATAAATAAGTAATTACATATGACATTAAATTATGGATGCGATATCTCTTCTGTAGAAATAATGAAAAATGAGTAGTACTTTGATTTACAAACGAAACAACAGAAAATGTGGATTACTTTAGAACAGTAATAAATTTTCTATTCGACAAAATCATTTACTTAGGCTGTACATTCGTATTGAAAAGCATGCAGTAAACTGCTTTAAAAATATAGGATATGAGGTTTACAACTATGCAGCAATATAGAAACGGCTTACTAATTAAAATAAATGCATAAGACAATTAGAATCGTCGGAGACAGTGTGCTCGCTGAATGCTTATTTTATATGAACTGGAACCACGACCATTTGAAGAATAAGTTCAATAGAAAGAACTAACAGTGAATGTGTTGTAGAAGGATATTAGCACAATACAAGGCTAAGTATAAAAATCATTTATTTATGATATCCCTAAACATTTTAATTACTATTACCAATAGTTTGGTGATAAAAACAGTTCGATTATTGGCAGTTTATAAAAATTAGTACAAACTGGAAGATGGATTCTAGTATACTCTATTGAAGTACAATTTCTGGATGAAGATCAGTGATCTTCCTTGGCAATAAAAAAAGCAGATATATATCGATAAGATTTTTAGCCATTGATCGAACACACTGATAATGCCATCTTATTACCTAATTATATGCTAAATGTATATTACATGATTACCATGCACAAAAATAACAAAGTTATTTAAATGATAATTAAGACATACAGTGAAACTGTATTCATTCAAAGGTTCAGGGTGTCTCATTGTGTAGTCATCTTCATTGAAGGTAATAAATGAATCGGATTTCAGTCTTACAACAGATGTTGATCCACATGCATATTCATCGAACGCCAATGGTGTTGATGCAGTGTGACCTGGAAAGAAGCCCAAATACAATATCACTATCTTCGACTCATTGGTTAGTTCAATCTTAAATAATACGTTTTAATAAGCTGGTCATTGCATAGTTTAATTTTTAATTGGCGTATGAACCTATTTTTGGTCACCAGCTACCATGGGACTGCATCTCCCTGCGTTGTTCTAATGCCTTGTGGATCAGACCTCCAGATCAAAGGCTCCGGATGTGGCCCCCTAAGAAGACCACCTGCTTCTGTTTGGGCACCCGGGCAGTATCATGGCCCTCACATATATCAGCGATAACTACTACTGGCCATATTATTATATGTACGCCCCCTTGTACCAATGTTTATGTGTTCAAACAAATAATGAACAAGAAAAGCTGTCGGAAGGTGTAACTTGTATGGAAATGACGTACATTCAGGTTAAGTATTAGTAGTATGGATGGAGATAAAAAACATTTAGACGATAAACTTAAAACCACCTTCCGAAAAAACTCTGAAAGCTAAAACATTTTATTGCTTATAAACTGAACATTTTCTTTTTCATAATTCTAATGACTACGCATTTTTTACTTAAAAAACACAGTCGTTCTAAAGCAAACTAAACAGACATTATCTAGTGAACGAGTGCTATCGAATTCATATTGGCTTAGCTAGTGAAAACGAAAACGTCCGAACGTAGTTTATACCCGAATTCGGAAAATTCTTTTCTCATATTGTAATCTAAGCATAAAATGACAGAAATGAAAATAGAATCGTATGGTATATAAAATAATATAATAATGATATGAAAGTGAAGTTTATTATGTAATAAGCAAAGTATAATAAATATATTAAAATCGTTTTGCATTCACACATGTTTGTTCCGATTTGACACTAAAATTACATTTAACAATTTGTTTTGTAAAAGCAAATAAACTGATGACAGATAAATTCATATGCTTAAGAAAACTGATAAAAAAACTGAATAATTCAGATTTTTTTAATGTTAAAATTTGATGACAATATACATTACGCAAATAAACAAATCAGGCAACAAGTATTGTAATTAACAGAGAATAGTACTCACGACTAAATCCTCCGATAGAAATTGGTGAAATAAACACTGAGTTGTTTTGATTTGATTGACAACATTCAGGAGACTCAGGAATCGGTTGCAGAAACGTATTATGTGGTTTAAAATGAATTTGAACATGACAGTGATGAAGAGGATAGACAGCAACACATGAAAAACAAACTTTACTATCTGTTAAAAAGTCAGTTGAATCGTTAAAAGTTTGAGAGTTAGAACTTTGTGAGACTGATTTAGAAAATTTAGGAACGTGAATCAATGAGTTTGTGTCATTCGACTTTCGAATATGTTTTATAAACCCTAAAGACATTTTTCTTCCGTAAAACTGTGTAAAAGGATTAGGATATTTTCGACTATAAACACACTTTTTCTTGCTGAAAATGAATTCCAACTCCGTCTGGGTTCGCGGTTTAGCACATATCAGTATATCAGACATAATCACTAGTAAACGAGTTTCCGCAACTCCATCGAGAGAATTCACCTGCAATGAAAAAAGCTATGATTATATATTTGACAAAGTAAATAAGTTGGGTTATCGACATAGAGAATGATTGAACTGAGAGATGAATTACATCAAGAATGATACATATGAAGTTGTATTCAGCTTAAATGCTCAATATTCATAGGTAAAGCCTAAACCCACTTTCGTTTTAAGATGTTAATGAAGAGTGATAACAATCCAAAAACTAAGATTTCGAAATATGTAGAAAGTCAAAGATTCCTGCTTAGATTATATAAAATTAACAAAACGACTACGTGATTTCAAGAACCTAACACCATAGAAGTTTAAAATGCTTACCTTTTTCACCAATCCATACTTCAATAGTTTACGCCCAGGTACTAGAATGAGGTTTTGCGACCATTTGCCAAAAAGTCTTGATTGCAATAAAGCGGCCTTAGTAGCTTGCTCACTGATTCTAATCTGTTCATTTAAAAATGTTGCTGTCGCTACCACACTAGCAAAACCTGCAATAAGAATAATTGTGGAAGCACACATTCTATGAATATAACGTTTCAGATCTGAAAAACTTGAATCATGAGATTCTGGAGAGTAATGCACTTGATGATGATTATCCGATAGTTTTAAAATAAGAGTGGCTGCATATTCTGGTATCATAAAATGTTGACGAGCAGCTTCGTTAATACTAATGGCACATTTATTTGCTTCTGGATTACTTAAACCGTCCAGTTGAAGGCAAATGATAACAAGTTCTTGGAGTATTAAAGAATACCTACAAAAATAGAAGTTCGTTAAATTCTCTCGTACATCCATCAACATTGCGGAAACATAAAATTAATTTCACTGAAGACATACTCCTTCTATTAAAAGGCACGTAGAAAATAATTAATAACCTATCTGTGAGACCATACACATGTTTGTGTACTAAGAACTAAACCACACAAATCGTGGTACAGGCAAAAATATTAAACGCATAGATAAGCGTGAAATTTGAACCACAGACCACAGGAAACATAATTTGCGAGCAGAGCAACAATACGATAATATTATGTTTTCGACAATTTGATTCTGACACAAAAGTGTAGCGGTAGTTTGCTGACACGTTTGGTCAGGCATGTAGGTTTTAGCCTTCAAGGGTATCAAAAGGTGTATGTCGTGTCACATTCCAGGAAACATAAATTATCTAGAACTATTTCTAATAGTTCTTTCAAATGACATCAACGTCCATAAAATCCTTCTTTTAAGAAAATCAATGCGATCAGGCAAGGCATTAATATATATGAAAAGTTATACTTAACAGGCATGGTTCTACAGATATCAATTATCATACATAATAAAACCAAAGATTTATCAACACAGAAACATACCGAGGAATGCGCTGTATGGGCATTATGAGGAGTGCTGAAAGCTGTAAATTAACATCTGGTAAGCTTTCTTGTTTATTTATAAACTCCATTAGTCCTGGTATGAATGCATTACAAGTCTAAAAGACCAAAAATAACACTTAATTTAACATGTACGGATACCACGAATCAAGCGAAATTCTAAACCACATAAAAGTAACTTTTTCCTGCTAACCCAAAAGCAATAAATTGTATTCCGTGAAATGATTATTTGTAAATGTTACAAAATAATTTAAATAGCAAATGAGTTATTTTAAGAACTATGATTAGTTCCAAAGTGCCAAACAAACAACTTTTACACTAATGAAATCTAAATAAAGGATTAGTTCATCTTACCTATTGACTTTTCACTGTTGATTTATAATTACGCTTGTTAATGTGTGATTTTATGGAGCCTCATATTCAGATCAGCACGTTTTAAAAGAGACGTACACTTAAGCTATCATTCTTTGAGGAAAAATTTCAGACTAAGGGTATTTTTTCTTGTTTATTTCTATAATGTGAAGTTTCCTCTATTATATTATAGCTAAAAATCAGGATTTACTACAATATGTGGAATATGGAAAGAAACTTATATGAACCTATGTTGTTCGTACTACAAAAACAATGCATTACGGAGTTGCCAAAAGATGTTCCTGAGAGATCATATGGAGTTGGGAATCTACCTGACCACTTCAAGTAACAATTTCGACAATGCGTGACTTAAATAATGAACGTAAGAAGAGACAGAAAGAATACTTAGTTCGTTCAAAGCCTAGAAAATTGGATTCCCAATAAATCAATGTCGGAATGTTCGTAGTTCTTCGAGTGTTTATCCTTATCTAACTATTTAGAAGTCTCATCTCCTGGTTTCGAATTTTGTGATGGTCGTAGTACTGTTTACAAGTTCAGGTTTAAAACATCTACCCGCGAACAAGAGGCCTAATACCTTTTATCTACGGGGATTTAGAAGGATTTAACTCCAGTCTAGTAGATTGTTGCTATTATTATCTAAACTACAGGCACAGAATAGAAAGGATGTTGACCAAAAGACACAAAAAATCTCTACTTAAACTGAAGAAAAGATAAGTACAATATCCTCGAATAATGACCCAGCAGAAGAGACTATGACAATTGACTTAATCACTAAATAGCCCAAGACAAACAGATATAATCTCTCAGGATTTTTATGTAACACTTAAACCCAGCGGTACCATGTCACTAAGGCATTATATCTATCCAAAAGTATATAAATCTGAATTACCGCTGTGGCAGAAAGATTTATAGCAGAACCTCTAAAGGTACTGCATAGAGACGTCTCACAGCACGTCGTAAAAGATAGTCTTAAATCTGTTGATAAAACCAGAAATTCGGAGATGAATAATAGATTTATGATATCAATGGATGTTTCACGAACGTGTCTTTAACGGAAATAGATGATTTCATATACAGTGAGCCTCAAAATCAGCTAGTGGAAATCAGTATCCCCACCTTTTCCTTGCAAGATTACAGAAGGGGAACGAAGTAATTATGCATCACAGAATACGGAAACAAAAATGTGCAAAGATGGAGGGAAGGTGATCACAATAAAAAGACAACAAAAGAATAAAAATAAGTGAACGAGAGCAAAAAATAATAGAAGTTTAGTTCAGAGAAATATAACCAGTTCTTTCAGTTAAATAAGTCCCTCTCAAGTTTAAGAACTAAAAGAAAACCATGAAAGGACCGCCACCGGCTTTAATTAGGAGCCATGTCTAGTGACGTTTTAATTCACCGTGTAGTACTATCTCTAGGACCTAACCAGATAGTCGTGGAGGACCGACATAAATTTCGAACTTACTCAACTCTTATTCCCACATAACGAATTTTTGTAATTAACTGATTACACAACCTTGTCTGTAGATTTAATGTCACATTCGCTGAGATTGTGACTACCGTTTTAGAGGAGACATTGTTGAACTGATCAACCACCAATTGTTTGCAATTGATTTCATTCTTAACTGCAAAACCTATGTATTAGTATAGTGCCTTGATGAAGAACTGGTGGAAAGAAGGCATATCTTTGCCCAACTTGTTTTTCAATATCCCGATGGAAATATCTCAAATACAATGATTATTGTCAGGTTGCATTCTTGGTCGAAACTTTCAGTCTATAAAATACCTCAGCGGAGGCCACAAGGACTCTGTTTTACAAAGTTTAGGGTATATCAATCTTAATCTTTTAAAGTACTCTCCATTTCTGTCATTGCACTAGTCTCAGCATTGATTCCTTTGTTCACAACATTCATGGAATGTTGTGCAAGTCAGGCCTTTTTACTGCCTGGTTGTTTCATTTCTTTGCACGATCTCGCACAGACGAGTTTTCTAAATTCAGGTCACTAGAAACTATGCCAACAGGGAGTCAACGATTACAAAGTAAAAGAGATCGGTGAACGTTCAGTGTTTTCATCAATACAGGTACAGGGTCATCCCAACCTTGTATCAACCATATAGTCTTCACAACTTACGCTGAAAAACTGTAATGCCTTTTTTGGAAAGCTAGATCTTTATAATTTCCCCAAACTTTCCACAAAATTAATTAGTTTTTCTAATGCTCCAAAGAAAATCTTAGTGCTTCAGTTTGCTTATATATTAAACAAACCATGTATTTCAGACGTAAGATTTCAGTTGTGTAGCTCTTTATGCCAATAGTGAAACGATGCATTTAGAGGAGTTACTTTTAGTATGTTATATTTTGGTTAACTATGTACTGCAGTAGCAAAAGAGATAGGCCAGGAACAAACGAGAAACTTAAGAAGTTAAGGGAAAATATAATGTTTTGCAAACTTTCAAGCAGAAGCAAATATTAACATCTAACCAGTTTAGCTCTGATGAATTTGTATTTCGATTCGGACTACCTTATCTTGTCATTAACAGTAACAGTACAGATAGAAACATAATAAAAATAAAACCACGCAAACTGAACAACTTGCCTCCATAAACACAACGTTTGTTTGGTAGCGGTTGGCATAATCTGCATATAATTTCAGACATGGAGAAATTTTCAGAAATGCTTTCTCTACTCCAACAGTTAAAACAGACTCAAGAAGAGTTTCATTGACACTTAAGATGGGCACGAGACGTCCGAAAATTTCAGAGTGTATATCTTCTGGCAAGTATCTGCGGTCAATTAAGGGCCTTGCAAAGTACTAAAAGACTAGACAAGCAATATGAAGTTACCTTTAAAACCTTCCTGAGGTAACTTATGTATTTAATTTCAGAAGTCACGAGTTCGTGTATTAGGTCATCTTTTGATCGTAGAAGCTTGACTTCGGCATTTGAATTATTTGTGCGTAAAGAGAATGAATTTTTCATCGGCAGGACTTATAACAAAGGTAACAAACGTCTTTTAGAATGTTGACAAGGTTAACTTGAACTTTCTCATAATTCAGCTGGAATAGAAGTCAAATTTATGAGAAAGCGTAAAATGAAGGAACAGAAATAAAGCTATTATGTATGCAAAAAGCATCAGTAAAAGACTTCAGATATATCCACGACTCTATTTGTAGGTTAATCACTACTAATGTATAACCAAAACAATTAAGCGTACGCAAGAAGCATGATGAACGTATGTCAACTTCCTCAATATATTAAGAATATCGTCAAACGTTGCCTAAAGTTGATTGCTTATTTAAGCCTCATGCCTTTTTGGGACATCGGTGGCTGACCAAAGATCTTCAAAAATCTCTGCTTTAGGCTCTCTTTTCCAGCTACTGACAAGTGACATCTACGGTGTTGATGTCTCGACGGGATACCTACTTAGTTGGATACACTGGTGATGTTTTCATGATTTTCTTGATCCATCGAAGGCGGTGAGGTAGGTAGGTTGTATCCTAGGTACAGCGACAATGGTGTGCTATATACGCTTTTCATTGTTATTGTTCCTAATGATAGTTTAGTATCACGTAACTATAGCTCTCAGGTAAGGTAAATGTACCGTCATTGGAACTCGAAAAATTATAGACCATATGGAAATGTAACATACTACATAAACATAATTTTTTCATAGGAGGACTAAAATGACAGATTGAATTAATATTGATGCTTAAAGTGGTAACTTCAATTATGGGGCCAAAGTATGCCACCATACATAGTAGTCAGAATAAGACAGACTCTTAGCCACGACATTGGTGGATTCTCTTGAACAGTTTCCTTGCGACTTGATCTTCATGATTTTAAAAAGCGGTATTTATAGTTATTCGGCAAATTAAGCCACAAATAATATCTTTTTATACCATATTAAGGTTTGCTAATGTAGTAATGTACAAACATACGCAAATGCGTTACTATTTAAACACTCGAAATGGAAAGATGTAACAAAATTATCAATTGTGCTCATACTTCCATCCAATATGCTCTTCGATGCATCATAGTACTTGAAATCCAATGTTTCTGATAATAACTCTAGTTTATGAACTGACGGGTCTTTTCCATAACACTTGCATGGAATTAGTTCAATTAAGCCTCAATAAAAATTCGTTTACATTATAGATGAACAATCTTACATTTCGAATAACGCAACTAACAGCATTCGCAGGTTTCCGGTCGTAATCACTGTTTAAATAAAATGATTGCTCAAGTATAACCTGACAACAGCGGTAACCAATCCACGCACGAATACGGATTCAGAAATCAATGTGAGCGCTTCTAAGCTTTTAAAAAATTTGAGCGTAGAGCGTCCAATACTTTTGAAGTTAAAACTGTCAGGTGTATTTGGAAAATTTTTTATTCGTCCTTATATACACCATTGCAACAGAGGATAATTGTCGATGACAGGTAAATCAAGTTTTCACCAAATTTTTAGAAAACTCAAAGCAAAAATAAACTTAGCTTCAGTCACAACTTGGGGAGTTTCTGTCCCAGTTTGGAAGAATCACTTAGCTTGTGTAAATCCTGGCAATGATGGCTTCTCAGTGGACCTAACTTTCACTTGAAAGATTCGACAGATTGGGTTTCAATAACGTGTTCAGTTAATGAATTCAGCTCGTTTATGACTCTTTGTGAATGTCGATAGTCAGCTGGCAAGTAATCTGTTCTGGGATTGTAAACCTTTTTTATGGTGTCCTCATAAATCTACTTTTCTAGGAGATAAAAAGGTGAAGGCATGTTAGGTACAAATTTATTATTTAGGTTTTATTTGGAACAGACCTCTTTGAAGTCAATCTTTCTTCGTTTGATCGGTGTGAGTCAGCTGTTACCGAGCTCATTTGAGGCGGCTGTACATCAATTTCTGTGTCGAATGTAACCTGACCTGGTTTACCAGTACACTTTTTAGCTGCATCTGAGAGGTACTTCTTACAAAACTACAAGCAACCATTTTTACTAAACCGTTTGAAAACCGCAGACGTTAGATTCGTACAAACTTCGTGGTACCAGCACATGTGTAGTGGCATTGAACAATAACCGCACAATCCACAAAGCTGAACGCGAGACTACTCAGAAAATAGATATTCAATATTTAACGCGGATAAATACCTAACGATGGAGGAGGCGCGAACAAGGAATTGAATGGACTGGAGTTGATCGGATGGCATGGCTCGGCCATGCAGGCGTGGTCCATCTGGATGTTATCTTATATCTTCTATTCGTATTAAATATATTGTTCCTTCTCTAGCTTAACGTTGTTCTACATCATGTATTGGTAATTGATACGATACAGTGAGTTGGCGTAGTCGATGGTGTGACTTCCACGTAAGATCTTATAGATTAGGCAGTTATATCATGACAAATCTACAAATTTAGGATTAGGTCTATTATTAGAGCAGCACTAATATCATAGTAGACCATAATTCTACATTGGTGAGCCCAACTAAAGAAACGCAACCTGTTATTGTTAATCCTTATTTCCACCTTAACCTTCTCAATCGAATTTTATTTTTGTAAACCCACTATTCTAATAGTCCTTTGATTAATGGTCACATATATTATCGTAATGTTATATCTATTAGTTCACATAACTTACTAGCTCAATCGATAATAGAAGTTGATCATCTATATCAACTAATTAGCTTTGATGGTTCGTTAACAAGCTTTAATAGCATTTACCTGCTTCAGCAACATAGACTTGTTTAAACATCAAGCTCTAGCAAATATGACCTGTTAATAGCGTAAATATACATTGACTAACAATGTAATCAAGGACTAAATACTTATCTGGATCTAATTATCAGTGTTCCTCCACCTAACACCTCATCCTGTTTTAAACTATGCACTATCCTGTAATATCTTTCTTCTGACCACTGCCTGCCTAATTTCATATTTTCGAGTTCCATTGCCAAACAACAAGGATGACAATTCTCCAAAAACATACGGTGAGTTTCAGCTATAGGTTTTCTGCAATCATAAGGTCATTTTAGATAACTCGTTCAATGGCGACCACACTAATATCTGGATTCATTCAATTGTTCTGATTCGAGCGAGTGGCAAAAACGTCAACAGCATCAAGCTTCCCGGAATTAATTGCCATACTGCATGTTTTATTCTGGATACTTTTGGATCATTACTACTCCTCACGAATGTCGTTATATATTGTCGTCCACTGAATAATCTACTTTTCAAAAATAATCCAGGCGAGTTCAACTATTTTACTTAATGATTTTTTCACTTAACATGTATATATTTTCCAGTTACTTCTGCCACATATTTGTAATTGTCCCTAGGCTAAATGCACTAACTTTTGGAAAATTTATAATTCTTCATATTCCTGCCTGAAGTTTCACAAGCAGTCTAAACTTTAAAATTATTTTCTGGTCATGTTCATTATTTTTAAATCGTCATATACGTCAACAACCTGCATGTTAACCTGGCCCATACATACGTTACACTATATCTCCATGTCTTCTAAATTTAGAAATCATCTGGATCGCCTTTAACATTTATCAATAAACCCATCATAGTCGTTGTTGCTAATCGTATTTGGGTTTATGGATTGATTTATCATATTAGCAGCCTAAAATGCGAACATAGTTTAAATAATAAGATTAAAAATTTAGGTACTATCAACTGCACTAGTAAAATAACTAAATCCCCAGGTAGCTGTTGGCTAAATAAACGTTTAAAATCAAAACTCCGTAGCCTACTAGAATTAACACTAAACGAATATTTCTGAATTGACATTTATAATTAAATTAGGCGTCTCGGATTCTTTAACGTTATAAATTTCTGATGATTTCGAATCACCTAAAGCAACAATACCTATTTTTCCACTGACTAATCCTCAATCAACACTATAACTAGTTAAATTTAATAGTTTCAGGATATCGTCATAAAGCATTGTCATAACTTGACAATCACGTAATATGATTGATAAAATTAATGAAACTATTAACAAAATCGGTCAGCAAATTGACTTATAATTATCACTAGTGTTGTTTTTCTTTTATCTTCATTCACTACAGATGATTACAGTATGTTTCTCTATCAGTTGCTCATTCAGTAAATATCTCAAAACCTTGTCAGTCTAATTGATGGTTTAGCGACACAATCATGCATGCAAATAATCAGTATAAGCAGTCGAGCAAATCTCCTGCAAACTGAAAACATCAATGTCGAATTTACCCCAACACTGACTAAGGTTCAAGCCATTATCATAGACATGAGTTGGGAGTGTACTCCCCTTGGTTACAACTTATGTTCTCCCTGATAATCACATGAGCATCACTCACTATTAATCATCTTGTAAAAACTTATTTAGCCAAATACATCTTGCAGCACCACATCACCTAGTAATGTGACACATAAGCTGATTTCAATAACTTATAACCACTATATCTCAATTAAATCGTATTCCGCCTTATGATAAACTGCATACTTGCAACTAACTTGTATGCGTCATCAGCCGTCAGGTATAAATATGTATAAATAGACTATGGCAACTCAGAACATTGAGTCTAGAGCACGTCTCTTACGAATACACTCATGTTTAACGATTTGTTCTTAGCTATCTGTCCTAAACTCATATAATTATCACTTACGTATTTAAATTTTGTTTTGATAACCATTCATGTGTATTAGTAGTATTACTAAATTCTATCACGGTCAAATAAAAATGAGGTTGAGAAAATCTCCCCGTAACTAAATAAACCGTATCAAACTAACTGGAACACTAGTTGGAATTCTTCTCCACGGTAATACTTTTGTTCTTTCAGTTAGCCTACTAATACAAATGCAATTGAAAATCAACTCATGGACAACTTATTAGCATGAACGTTATTTGATTTTATAATTTAAACCAAAACTAATACCAATATCAACATTTCTACAATATTAATTGCTTTTAATATTTCGAAACACAAAATACTTACTACCTATACGTT